GCTTCCCGAATGCTATGATTAAAGGTGTGTGCCACTACTGCCTGGCCTCTATGTTTAATCTAGTGTTTTGTTCTGGTCTCTAATCTTCAGGCAAATTTTGTTAGGGTACATAATATATCATCGCAGCTGGGTAGCTGGCCCCTGATGTCCTCGTCCTTCTCTGGCTCCCAGATTTCTCCTTCTATATATTCTCTCTGCCTGCCAGCCTCACCTATCCATTCTCCTGCCTTGCTATTGGTCATTCAGTTCTTTATTAGCCCATTGGGTGTTTTAGACAGGCACAGTAACATAGCTTCACAGAGTTAAACAAATGCAACATAAATAAAAGTAACACACCTTAAAATAATATTCTACAACACCACAGGTTTCAGGGACTACAATTTTCCCACGTCCACATGGGCTGGGTTCTCCATGTGTTCAGACCACTTGTTATTTCATAAGACTCCATCTACCGTGATCCCACCAGTCTGAGTGGTTTCTCCCATCTGAGTGACTGATCTTTAAAATATGTGTATGAGCAAGTTTGTATCTCCTCACTTCTTCCTGTGTGTGTGCACATGGGCATGTCCAACAGATTCCTCAATGACACATTATCTGGAAGTAAATTGAATCAAATTTCACATTGCTGAATTCCCTTGCCATCTCCCTGTTCCCTGTCTCTGCCTGGTATCTCCTCACTTGGATCCTCATGTCAGAATTTTAATTCATCCCACCCAACCTCCTAGTATATCACCACTGACCTTAACCCCTTCATACAGTCACGTGACACAAGCCCACTTCCCTCAGATTCTCAAGTTTTCTGCTAAAGGTGTAAGGTAAAAAGGCCAGCTAAAGAAGCCCACCCTGACCCTAAAACCAGAGCCAGTGAAAGAAATACACCCTGGCCCTGAACCCAGAGCCAAAGAAACACACTTTGGCCCGGGAACCAGAGCCAGTGAAAGAGAAAGAAAAAGAAATATGCCCTGACCCTGAAACTAGAGCCAAAAGGCTAAAAAGGGCCAGTGAAAGAAACACACTTTGGTCCTGAAACTGGAGCCAACTCTGCCCCACCCACCCACCCACTCCCTACCTCAAAACCAACCAATCCCTGAGCAGGAAAATCAACCAATCCCTAAGGAGAAAAATCTCCCTGGAAAAAAACTCCACCCCTAAGAAGCCCTACGTAAGCCCCCTGCCTGTTAGGTATCCGCTGTCCTTCTCCACCCAGGCAGAGGCAGCCACTCTCCTGGACTCCCCCTTCCCAAATAAATCTCTTTCTTAAAAGAGTTTTGGGTGAAGATCTCCTTTCACCAGGGCAGAGGAGAACCTTTGCTGGGATGTTCCCTTGATGGGAGCTGAGCAGAAGTAACAACTTGTCACCAGAGCTGGAGGAGATTGCTGCGTTTCTGCAGGGGGTTCCCCTCTAGCAGAGGGAAGCAGAAGTAACATCTTAGGCTGGAACTGATAAGGAAGGGGGGCTCCCTTAAGCAGGGAGGGAAGCAGAGCTCAGCTGTTAAGGCTGTCTCTGGGAAAGGAGCAGGATTGCTACGTCCTGCAGAGAGACAGCGTCCACTGCACCCAGCTTCAGGTATAGCCTGACTTCCTGATAAGTCAGGATACCTTTCCCTCCGGAGCTATAGTACTTGCAAAAGGGAGAGTTAAATTTTTGATTTTGAACTTCTCATCTCTGGCAGGCTGCAGCTGCTTTGGTAATCACTATAAACTGGTAATTGATTATAAGAAGGAAGTGGACAGCACCCACATGCAGGTTCCATTCTGTTAGTGCCTTAGCCCAGGAAGATGCCTGTCATCTCACAGTGCCTGTCCTATTCTCTGTGCCAGTCCAGCCAGGTCTGCCCTCATGCCACAGCCCTCCTGAAGGAACAGCCAGCATCTGCTATTCATGGCCACAGTGCGACTGCACAGAGCTTCCGGGCTGTGCGGTATCCATTGCAGCCATACAGCTCTGCCATCGCTGAGCAGTCCATGGTGGCACTGTGACAATGTCCAGACAAGTCTGGGAGCCTCTCCACACACCCAGCCAGCTGCAGACAGATCAGCGTCTACTGACTACCTCCCCTGCGTCTGATCAGGCCCTATAAATCCACCCACGTCTTCGAAAAGGCTCACAACTTTCAAAGTGCGATGACTGTTGATATTCTTATCCACGAGGGGTCTCCCATGCAATTATTCATAACAATGACCTCTCTGCTACAGCCAGCACTCTTGAAAGTTTGTGAAGGCCGCTGAAGCCTGGCCTCACCTCCCTCCCGTCACCCCTTCCTCCTCCCTCACTCTTTGAGTGGCCACCCCTGCCTCATCCCCACCTTTGCAGCCCCCCCCCCAGGCTCTGTGTCCCTCACCCTCACACACACCCTTAGTGCCTCCACTCGCCAAGGCTTTGCACACTGTCTTCCTCTAGGGCCCCTGCCCGTCCTGCTCACTGGGCTCCTTTACCCGTCTGTAAGGCAGGTCTTTTCCTGAGGGAAGACTGACTGCCCAAATCTGTTTACACCAAGTGCTGCTGCAGGCAAGGCCAGCACGCCTCAGCAGCAGCATAGGAAGGAAGCAGCATGCACTGTTGGCCCGGGGTCTGCTCCAACACAGATCAGAGCTGGCTCCCACTTGACACATCTTTTCCTCTCACGCTTTCAGGTCTCTAATTCAAAGTGAGTACATGGGTGCCTGTTGCGTGATGTGAGCATTAATGAGTTTAGAGAGCGCATTTGCATAAAATATCGTAACCAGTTTAAGGATATCTCTGAGCTATCAACCAGAGCCTGGGTCCCCCATGGAAACTGGTGCTGTGATGTGGACAGTGCAGGGGAACATGGCCCCAGGTTCATCCTAGCAGCTGACTGCTGGTTCTCAGACTTAAGGGCTGTGACCTGCCCTGAGGAAAGCCAAGGACTCCACTTATGAACAGTACCCAGCGTGTAGCTTGACTGACCAGTGTCCTCATTACCAAGAGGAGGCAAAGGATCACCAAAGGATCAAAGAGTGTTCCGATACTCCTCTCCTGAGAGGTTGGGCTAGTGCCGTCTGTCACCTCTGCAGGAGCAAGAAAAAAAAATGCAGCTGAGAGATCCAACCTTCTAATGAGAACTGCAGCATCCTGCACGTAGCCCTGTCTAGAGCACTACTTGCAAGAGACCGCGAAATAGCAGGATTATCTGTTGACTTCTGCCCGAAAGGGAGGGGTGGGGAGGACCATTGACAGTCACCTGAGAGTGCTACTCACTGCCCCCCACCCCTCCCAGCCAGCTGTATGCAACTTCCCAAATGGCATGTGGTCACATGACCTCAGGCACTAGCAGAGCATGTAGGCCGTTGAAGGTTTACTGAAGAGGGCACTCCGTCTGTGCACTTATGGGGCAGTTGTCCTCCATGCCAGGGTAGCAAGGCTACTTTGAGATCACCCAGGCTCCTGTAAGTAAAACAGTAAACATGGGTTCCCCAGGTTGGGGAACAGTTTGCCATCGATGCCTGTAACGAGGAGTAGACATGTGTCTATAGCTCCACACCTGTCCCTCATTTACTTCTTTATCAGTGGGGTACAGTCCACAGCCTCAGATTGTAAATTCAGGGGAGCCCTGAACCTGGACGGTTAAGTGGCGTGCCTCAGTCCTCACCAGTGGGGCCTTGTCTCCTAACTGATAGGGCAGCCCTCTGCCTCAGCTACCTCGTGAAGCTGCTGAGACCTGTTATCTGCGCAGGAGCTTTCCATGAACAAAGTCTTGTGTTCTGCTTCCATGCTGCGTTCAGGTCTGTGTGCCATGCAGAAAGTACCAGCAGGGCTTTGGGTGCACGAGTTCATGCATAGAGAACACGTGACAGACTCTGACATGTCTTTTGTAAAGCATGTCGCATCCCTTCCATGCTTGGGGGCTTCCTGTGGCCCTTCAGATTAGGCCCAGAAGGCCTTTTCTTGCCCCTCTTGACTCTGTCTGAACCTGGCTGTCCTGGTCTCCTCCTCAAGCACCCTTTTTGGGGTACTTACAGGCATTATTTCTGCTGCTCACTCTGCCTGAAGGCTCCCTGCCTTTTCTTGTCCTGCTTGATTCCGGTTCATTCACTCCTCATCCTTCCTCTTCTCAACCCCTCTGAGGTTAAGTCTGGCCAGCCCCCATGTACACCCACCTTACCCACACACAAACTTCTTGTTGGAGGACCAGTGTGCGTGCACATGGTCGTTCAAGCCATCCTTGAAAGACATTCGATGCCTGTCTTCCTTGTGAGATCCTAGCAGTAATGAGGTCGTCCACCACTTTGCCCATGGGAGGTGTTGACTGACTTGTGTGGCCACATCTACAGTGTAGTTAGTGCCAGTTACACTGAGAAACCATATTTGAGCATCTTTTAGTTCCTGCAAAGGTGAAAGCACTGATGTCTCGTAGCTCTGCCCAGCGATTCCTTTCTGCTGTGTACAGGGAAGAAAGAAACATAAGAGCCCAGCCAGATGAGTTGTTTGCCCTTGGTGCCAGCCTTCCTGTGTTTCAGGCAGTAGTGGAAGTAGTATGAAGGAGGTGTGCTGTGTGGGTGGGCGGTCCTGCCACACGATCCTTCACCCAGTTCACTGATGGTTCATATTGAAGAAGTAGAATTGTGCGAAACATACAAGACACTGTATTTTATAGTCTCTGATGTTCCTACAGACACAGATATATCTAGCACACTTAACATAAAATTGAACTGTTGATAATACATCAACAGAAATCACAGTCTAGCAGTATCTGCTACAGAGGAAATCAGTCTTATAGATTGGGGCTGGGGGGAGCCATCCAGTGACCTCCCCATGATGTATGCATCGTTCGGTTTTAATGTTGTGATCTGAATGTCTTGACAAACACCTGCTTCTTGTACCTTTTGCTGCCAAGTCACATGGGCCATGTCAAGTGACGTTGGCCTCTGCACCAGCTAGCCAGCTGCCTTTGCCCTGGCTGCTAAGATCTGGATGGCACTGCTCCCACAGAGCAAGAAAGTGTGTGTGCTGTTGACACCACCTGCTCCTGTCCTTACAGAGCTGCAGAAACTGGAGGGCAGCGGTCGACCTGTGTGGACGCCTGCTCACAGCCCACGGACAAGGCTACGGCAAGAACGGGCTGCCCACCAGCCACACCACAGACTCCTTGCAGGTCAGAGCACCTTCTTGTGTTGTCACGTGGTTTATCATCATTTGGGGACATACCGGGGACAGTGGCCTTTCATGTAAAATGAACAGGATAGGGGTTTCCACATCCTGAACTTCATCTCCTTCCTTCAGGAGGTCCTTCCTTCCCAAGTTATCTGCATGTTTAATCCCTCTCGAGTGACCTGAGGGTTTCAGTCTCCAGCAGGTGTAGAGCTTACCTATTCTAAAATGAGATGTGTGAAAAGAGAGACTTGCACGGAAAGGAACTCCTCCAGTGAGGAATAGCCTTGGAAGTCCTTCGGGGCTCACTCTGTGGAGTTTCCTGCTTCAGTTCCAATGTCGCCAGGAGTCCCAGGTGAACCCAGTCCCCAGACCCTGCACCACTGAGAAGAGCTTCCAGGGGGCTGTCTGTGGAACATTCTGTGCGCTTGGAGAACGGGGCAGCGGTACCTCAGCCCCCATGCCCTCAGCCCCCATGCCCTCAGCGCCCATGCCCTCAGCCCTCAGCCCCCATGCCCTCAGCGCCCATGCCCTCAGCCCTCAGCCCCCATGCCCTCAGCCCTCATGCCCTCAGCCCTCAGCCC